TGTGTATCTGTGAGGGAGGTACGAGCAATTGTTGCGGTGTGCACTGCCATTTCGGTAGTGTTTGATATTAAAGAGGAAGAGGAGAGAGAGAGAGAGAGAGAGAGAGAGAGAGAGAGAGAGAGAGAGAGAGAGAGAGAGCATGTGGTTGTCTGTGTATACCTGTGAAATAACAACTGTTGTGATGTTCACTGCCATTGTAGTAGCATTTATTATTCCTCTTGCTGCGATGACATACCATGGAACTAAATGTCTAGGCTCTTCTTACCGCACGCTCACACTAGGACCCAAATTACCAAAAGTCTCAAAAAAAGGGGTAGCCCGGTAGTCACATCCGTTTCCCGAATCCCCAGAGGACTTATTTGGTTCCCCATTTGTCAGCGGCCTGCGGGGCTGCGGGGCAAGGGAACTTGTGGTAACCTCGGGAGATTACAGCAAATTCGTATTTGTTTTTCGGATTAACATTCAGGATTTTTTTTATTTTTTTTTTAACAATTCAATTCATATTAAACTTATTCAAGACGAGGCCGGGAACCTCACAATTCAACCCGGAGTTATCCTGGCAGCATTAGCCAGTTTCGCTTATACAATGAGAACCACTGAAATGACACATGACAGAACAACTCGATCTTGCATTCCGCCTACTGTTTATTCTATTCTGATAACACTACCCTTCTATACTGTACCTGACTGCAGACTAGTAAACAAACCTACCCCTAATACACAGGCCCAGCACGGCCTGACACCAGCCTTAAGTGACCGGTTGGAACCTGGGTTCCGAGTCACCCTTGGCACTCTCCACCCACCTCTCCTATGTGACCTGCGGTCTTGACTACGAACTGAGATACCTACTTTACCCTACTAATAACTATGACTAATTAAAACCACAAGGCCTCAAATCCAAACAACACCAAAATATAATTTCGTCGCTGTCCTGCTTAACGGCCTCCTACCTATTTGCTGGCCCGGTCTCTGTCTGGTGGTTCAGCAGCCAACTAGATAATTCCAGCCTGCCATCCACTAATGATATCAATCAGTTACGACTTCCCCTTGTCTTCCAGAACCGTGTTGATCCTTTCCTTGATTTGTCTCGTTTAGCTCTTCTTGTCTAGTCTGCCCTGAGCTGTCAGGAGTTGTTTTGCTGTAGCCACCGCCTCTCTGTGTTATTTCCTCTTTTTGAAACAGCTTCCTATTCCTGTCCTTCCGAATTACCCAGAGCAGTACAACCGTTGCTACCTGAGCAACATACCCCCAGCCACTATGGGCTGACAGATCCTCTGGTAGTATTTCGTCCGCCAAATTGTTCTTGCCTGTGATCCCTTTCCAATGAAAGAACCACCACTTCCACCACCTCCGGGGCTTGGGGCAGGCCCACTACAAGTGACTGTTTTCCTGATTCTATCATTGATCATTGGAGAGCCGCTCCTTTTGGTCACCAACAGGTTTGCAGGTTTTGTAGCAATGCCTCCCTTTTTTTCAGCTTCAGAAGTTTTATTTTTAAGGTTTAGCCCTTTCGGATAGCCACGGGATGCTGGACCCGGTTTCCAGCACAAGCCTAAACTGAGCAATGGCCCCAGCTACGCTCCAGGTTGTTTGTGAGGTATTCCCGGCCTCTTGCTTTCCTGTTCTATAATGATTTGGCATTCCAAAAAAAAATAAAAAAAATGGTGGGTGTTTTCATGTAGCCAATTGCATCTTTCACATTTAGTGCTGATACTTTGCAGTCCCCTTTTCCTAAGCCACATGGCTGTAGGTACAACCAGTACAGACTGCATCCACAACAGTGATGCCAGTTTCTGCGACGGGATAATCTTAAGTGGAGCCCACGGTTTTTTGTACTCGTTCTGTCGGGCATTCTGTTCCAGGTAGCAACTTATCCCACTGCTTGACTATCATCTTCCTGAGAGTCTGTGGTCTGCCTGCTAGCCGGGTCGCCAGCCTATAATCTAACTTACCTAGACCTCCTCCTACTTCACCATCTACTTTTCATGCCCATGCCATCGGATCTATTTTAAGTTTACTGATTTCTGTTCCCCTTGCTATTGGCTCAAACCTTTCTTGTCCACCCTGACCTGTGCTAGTGCTTATGACCCTGTATTCTGTCAGACCATCCAGCCTATCTAGTGTCCCGAATCTCTGCAGGGCTAGGCCTTCATGGAATCGCTCAAGGACTTCCAACGTGCAGTGGGCCGGTCTCTGCTTGTCCCATTCCTCGATCCTGGAGAATTTGTTCGTTGAATTACCTGCTGCTCTGTACCAGGTGCCTTCTGGTGTACTCCTGGCCCAATAAGTATCTTTCATTCTTGGGGAATTGCAGCATTAATTCCCCTTCGTCTGATGTCCCGGTGAGGTAGCTGTCCCAGCTTTTCGTCGAGTTTTCTTCCGAGACCCATTGGTCCACACTTTCATCCCACAGGTCTCCAATTGTCGAGACTCCTCTCTGGATCTATCTGAGTCCAAAGTTGTCGGGCCCCTTCTTGCAGGAAAGATTTCGCCTTGCTTGCAGGATTATCGAACAGGTGTAGAGTTAGCACTTGCTTTTTCGCGGCTGGAGGGGTGCGGAGTGGAGGTTTGCATGTCTTCCAGGCTTTGAGTCCCTCTGTCCAGAATCGGAACTTCACTCTTTTGCCTAGGAATGCATCTCAGGAGATTGCAGTCCAGATATCCGGGTTTCTACTCAGTGCCCATTCCTTCTGTAGGATCTTCTCGGCCAGTAGCATCGTTGTCCGCTTCCGCTATCTTGCTGATCCAGTTACAGAGTATAATTTTGTTCTCTGTTTCTGGGTCCTTGATTGGCAGGCCGCCTCCTTCCCTTGTCATGCAAATCAATTCCCTCCTTTGTCCTGTTTGCCATACGGCTTCCACAAGAATCTCCTAGCTTCATTCTTTATGAGGAGTCCCTCCGGGAGGTTTCTCACTACACCGAGGAACCACGGTAGTGCAAATGCCGAACAGTTCAGAGCCAGGGCCGTTCCCACCAGAGAGAGGTGCTTTGCTGCTGGATATGTGTAATCATTTTTTCCTGTAAGATTGTAGCCTGAGAGGAGGAGCAGTCCAGTGCGATCATTACCTCCAGGAATCTTTCCGCTCCTCGTGCACCTACCCTCTTCATCCCCCAATTAGCCTGTAGATCCTGTGCTTGTGGGAGGAAGTAAACGGATTTCCCTACACTTTAGAAATTGCTATTTGGCGCGCAACATTTGGCCGATCCGGGCCGCCCGCGGCCTACCGGCCGACGGCCTGGATTTCCGCGATCTTAGGACTTTAAGACTTTAAGACTAAGATCGCGCAGTGATCCAGACCGTCTGCTTTGCTGGACGGCCTGGATCGATGCGCGATCTTAAAGTCTTAAGATCGCGCGGAAATCCGGGCCGTCGGCCCGGATCGGCACGCCCGTTGAGAAGAGGGCCATTGCGGGGTGGCGCCATGGCCCTGTTCACGTCGAACGGCCCGTTGGGTCAAGGGCTGTCCGACTTCGCGGCCTCCGACCCACCTCCTCCCACCTCCGCCCGCCGTCTCCTCCCGCCATCTCCTCCCGCCGTCTACGCTTTCTTTCCCACCCGCCTCCGCTCACCTCCTTCGCCCATCTTCGATTGCCCTCCGCCCACCTCTGCCCACCTCCGCTCACCTCCGCCTGCCTCCGCCTGCCTCCGCCCACCTCCTCTCACACCTCCGCGCACCTCCGCTCGCCTCCACTCACCTCTGCCTCCGTCTCCTCCCACCATCTCCTCCCGCCGTCTCCGCTTCCTTCACCACCCGCACATCTTTCTCTGCCCGCACATCCGCCATCCCGCTGTTCATCCCGTGGCCCTCCTCACCTACGGCCTGCCTACCGTAGCGGTCTCTCTCTCTCTCTCTCTCTCTCTCTCTCTCTCTCTCTCTCTCTCTCTCTCTCTCTCTCTCTCT